ATAGTATGAGCAAGTGAAATCTTCTCCCTTATCGAACAAACGTCAAGAAGCAATCGAACAATGAAGTAACTAAGAAACTTTGGGAACTTTTTTGTAACAAGCTTTAGGTGTGGCGTGGTGACTGATTTTCGTGGCCTCCTTCTGTTTAAATAGGTGAGGAAGTCGGCTAGGTATATTCCCAAGAGATTTAGAGATATTCATCGAATATTTGGAAATATGTATGTTTTCGTATTTTGAGCGTATCTTCATATCGCACCGTCGGATTTCCACTCTCAATATGTTGTGTGAAGCTGAGATCCTTGTCTATCTCTTGGCAAAATTTGAGCTCAAATCCAACGGTGGGAACATCTTAATCTGAGACGAATCATCTGACGGACAGAATCTGTTTTTTCTTTAAAAAGGCTTGTTTCTCTTCTTTTTGGGTCCAAAATGCTCCAATTACCTACAAAGGCTTTAAGACCCACGAAAATACTAGAAATAGCAATTAAATGTCAAAACCAAGTTATTTATTAATTAAAAATCCATTTAAAACATAGTAAAAATCGGTAAAATATGACATATATAGTAATGTTCTTCTTTTTTTTTAAAGAGAGCACACTATACATGTTATTCATATGGCTATCATGGATAAACATTTATGGACAGAGGCATTGAGTTCTTAGCTTGATTATGCAACGGTAGAATTCAAAGGAACATCACAACAGGTAAACTCAATGCAAGATGTTCTTGGTAATAAAATCTACTTATTGCTGCTAAGTTGATGCATTGTGGACATCTTCTGATCAGAGGACAGGCATCGGATGATGCTTATACAATAAAGAATGCATTTAACTTCTCCTTGGAAGTTCCTCGATTTTGCATACCTTAAATTCGATGCAAGCAGAGGCATAGGCGCTTTTAGTGGTTGTTTAGAGATTGTAAAGTGCTTTATTAGGCACTTTGTACTTGTGTTAGAGACAAAGGTTTTACCGAAACCAATAATGCATATGCCCTATATTTTACTACTTTTCATATGGATTTTACTATATTTTTATGCATTTTAAGTTTTACCGAAACCAATAATGCATCTTATATACCCTATATTTTACTACTTTTCAGACGGATTTTACTATATTTATATGCATTTTATTGCTCTAATCTACCAAAAGAGGTAGTTTTCGTATGTGTAGATTTTAGAACCTTAACAGGTTAAAATATCAAAAAGGTTGCAAAAAGGATCAAAAGAAGAATTAAATATGCTACACGAACTAATTAAAGTCAAAGGAAAAATCCCAAGTCATTATATCTTCATGAACATACATATTCTCAAGTCGGATCTTACAACCTCTCTCAGTACCACTGCAATCAAAGCTATTCAAGCCGAGAAAACATTGGAAGAAGCCAAAGTTACCCATGGAGAAGTTTACTCTACAATGCACACAAGCGATCAAGGATGTTCAATTCTCTTTTTTTTTTCTGGAAATTTTAATGATCTTATTGGTAAGACTACTGCCCTAAAAGGTGAATCAATCAGTCTATCCAAGCGTGTAAAGCAAATCGATGATCGTTTGTCAAGCATATAATTAACGGTGAACTTTTGCCTTCGTTTGGAAATGATAGAAGATGAAGCAGCTGGAACAGTTCGTTGATGTACCTTAACCACACTTGGAGAAGATGATTCTACTCCTAATCAATCCGAAAGTGACCCAAGACCTCTTGAGAAGGCTGAAACAAACCCAACAAGATTGACGGCTAAAATTTTGGTAAAACGACCTCGAGAAGAAACTTGTTTTGTAGCAAGAGCTGAGAAGAAAACACGTTATATCAATGATGAGAGGATGGAAACTTTCAATTCACAAGGAAGCTTCCACCCAATATCTCCTTTGGCGAAACTTGGAGAAAGTACCCGTTGATGAGAAAGTGCTTTTTGCAAAGCGAAGAAAAAAAAGACGAGATTGAAGAGTTATCTAAGAGAGCTATTGGGTGGAAGCTTCCTTACTTGTCAATATCGTTTTCTTCTTCTTCGCTTTGTAAAAAGCACTTTCTCAACAATAGGTACTTTATCCAAGTTTCGTCCAAAGAGATATTGGGTGGAAGCTTCCTTACTTGTGAATTGAAGTTTTCCAGCCTCTCATCATTGATAGAACGTGACTTCTTCTCAACTCTCTCTGCAAAACGAGTTTCTTCTCGATGTCGTTTTAACGAAATTCTAGCTGTCAACCTTGCTCAGTTCGTTTCAGCCTTGTCAAGAGGTCTTGGGTCTTCACTTTTGGGTTGATTAGGATTATAATCATTTTCTCCAAGTGTGGTTAAGGTGCTGATAACACAGAGGTTTTAACCTTAGAAAATATCAA